GCAACTAGCACCAGCCCTTTTTATTGATTTGCTAATTTTCATTAGCCAATTCGAAGAATACAAACCATTGAAAACAAATAGTAGATTAACAATGATTTTATTAATACATTTAAAAAAATTTGATTTATTGAGTAATAAATAAATTCAGACAAAAAAAAAAATCTAAAGAAATCAAATTTCTGACCATTTATCTCTCACAGTACAACGGGTGAGAATGTATCTGTCTGGAAGGTATTTGTTTAAAGCACATGAACCACGTCAAGGTTCCTTCCTATTCATGTGTACGATTTTTTATGCAGAACGACTGAAGGTGTATGACAGAAAAATACACAATCAATCAGCAAACTGCTTTTCTTTGCACATTTTCATTCATTGATTAACAGGAAACTTAATCATAAAAGATAAAGAGTATTATGACAATAAAATAAAGTAGTTTTTAAACATTCATAAAGTTTTTAAAAAATATTTCATGATTTGAAATTACACTTTAAATGTTGATCAAGTCCTCCTAGTGATTGAGTAAAGATAAAAACTGTTCTGTAATTAAGGATTAAGATAAGAAAAATTCCAGTTGTTAAAAATTACTTAAAAATTTACACAAACCGTCTAAATCACAAGCCTGAAATCGTAGTTGCAATTTTGAACAACAAAAAATAAAAATGTGCTAGTTATTTAGTAATATTGTTCAGGAGAGTTCCTTGAACAATTATACTAATAATAACAATATAACAATTTTAACAATATAACAATTTTAACAATATAAAAATTTGAACAATAAAACAATTTTAACAATATAACAATTTTTTCTAAAACAAAAATCCCCTCAGAAAGTAAACTGCTAATTTAATGAAATAAAAATTAGGATAAATAATATACTGTACTGAACTGTTTCAACCAGAAAGGCTTTCCATAACTCTTTATTTACTAATATATTTAAATGTTTTAATATTTATTTTCACTAATTTTGAATTTTAAGGTTGAAAAATATATTTATGGCCAAATGTATTTTTAGGCAATAAAATATATGTTTTTATCCTACATACAAATGAATGCAATACACTTTTAGTGTCAATTAGATTGACAATAAAAGTGTTTTTAACTTGTGATTAAAAGATTTAACTTGGGATTATAGATTATAGTGATTATAGTAGACGAAACGAAGTCATATTCACAGAGATTTTAAGTGATTTATATGCTTTAGTCAACAGTCTTTAAACTATTAAAATTGTGTAAAAATGTTTACGAATAAACCGAGTCACAGAGACTTTGACTTATTTGTACAGAAACATAGCCATTTCTTTGCATTAACTTTTTGAAAACTTCTTGATTATCTGGAACTATATCTCTATGTGTATACATCAATGTTAAACCAAACGATATCCAGACATAGTTGATCTTGACCAGGTTTTAAATCTGTGAAGATTTAAAATAGATCTTTCAGAAGAACACGATGTCACAGGTGAAGTTGCTAATAACTGCAAACAAACAAAAATATTGGCAAAAGTTTTTATACATGAAATTGACTTTATAGTATCAGACACATTGTTTGGAATGGGATAATTAGTAGTCCAGTATACCTCCCAAAGCCCACACTCTGCATCTAAAGCTAATGGATTTGACAAATCTTCATAATAAAAATCAGAAAAAATCTTCAAGCTTTCCCTCCAATCTTAGTCACTATATGTTTTTTATCAAAAACAGCTCTAGCCACAACCAAGGAAATAATAAATTCAAAGGTAGTGACCAATTTCAATAAAGATATAGCTCTTTGGGAGTCTGCCCCAAACTTATTTATGTCATTGCTTATAGCTTCAAGGGAATAAACTGTTGGAATATACAACTTCTGTAATGTGTTCAAACCATCTATTCTTTCAAGCCAATTAGTTCAACTAACATCTTTAAGTTTTTTTTCCTTTTTATCATAACAGTGTTCTAAAATCATTGTCTCCAAGACAAAATTTTTTTTGATAGAAAAATTAAAATAATAGAAAACCTCTTTTACATGGTTCATAGCATTACAGAGAAGTTGAACTTTGCAAGAATTACACACTGCTAGATTTATTCGATGACTAAAACAATGGGTGTATAAAGCCTTATTGTTTAACTTTAAAATCCTTGTAAATAAATCCATAGCTAAACCACTAACTAGTTTTTGCATTTGATATATAGTTCGCACTGAAACATTATTTTACAAGTTAATCTGTAAGATTAACTTGTGATTTGCTAGCAAAATATGAATAATTTGATACTAATGCTAATCTGATGAAAGCCTCTGAATAAATAACTTAACGTAAATAAAGCAGTATAAACAAATAATAACTTACAGAATAGGTACTAATTTATCCGATTTTGCAGTTTTGTTTAAGTAGGCTTCAGCGCAAATATTTAAGATGAACTTGATTAATTAATGAATGCAAAAAACATAAAGAATCAACTTGGAGGGAATACTTCTTGTTTATCTTTTCGAATGTAACTTTATCGCTTTTCTCTAATGCAATTCACAAATTATCAAAAATCTTAGACAGCTTAAATTAGACACTTGAAGAAAGAAATGCTAAGAGTATTATTTTCCAGACATTTTATGCGTAAACTATATCCCAATCGGCCAAATTCCAAGGAAATTGTTTAAATTTTTTAATTTCCAGACTTTTTATGCCTAAACTTAACCCAATCGGCCAAGTTTCAGGCAAATATGTCAAGTTTTCTTAATTTTCTGATCAGATCGCCTCAGATCAGGCGGCCTTAGGCATAAAAACCAACCGGCCAAATTTTAACTAAATTAGGGTAAATTTCCGATTTTCCAGATTGCCTTAGATTAGGCAATAAAATTTTTGCGTAATGCATAAAAAAGCCATTTCGCCAATCAATATATTCGCCAATATATTTAACACTTTCGCTCATTTTTGCGGTTTCAAATCCGAAACCGTGAAAAAAATCCTAATGAAATTTTGACTTTAAAAAAATGTAAATTGAGATACACCTTATTTATAATATAATATTTCTCCTTAGGCGGCCGCCTAATCTGCAGTACTGTAGATCCGCCACTGGAGTTGACGATGTAAGCAGTAATGTAGTAATTTAAGCAATGCTATACTTAAAAACCCTGCTTTTGCATATATTTAGTCTCTCTTTAGAACAAGGAATCTTGTTCTAAAGAGAGTAAAAGTTGCAAGAGTAATGCCAGTATTAAAATCAGGAGACGAGGCTGATATCTCTAATTACAGACCTATCTACTTACTATCATGCTTTTCAAAATTATTAGAGCACATTATGTATGAAAGATTGTATTACATTTTAGCTGCAAACAATATTCTTTATAATAAGCAATTTGGATTTAAAAAGAGTCACTCTACTGATCTGGCAATTGTTTATTTTGTTCAAAATATATTTAAATTGTTTAATAAAAATAAATGTACATAAAGTGTTTTTGATGATCTCAGTAACACTTTCGACACTGTCCATCATTTTATTTTATGAAAAAAATTAGAAAATTACGGTGTAAAAAATATAAATACAGCATGGTTTAGAAGCTATCTGACAAATAGATTACAACTTATTTCTTACAATGATGGTAAAACGACCGATATGAATAAAAAAGTGTGGGGTCATAAGGTTCTATATTGGAGTCACTCCTATTTCTCATATATATCAATGATTTAAGTAAATTATGCAGTGAACTAGATACAATTTATTAGCAGATAATACAAACCTATTCTATGCACATAATGGTATAAACATTCTTTTCAAATCTGTAAACAAAGAGTTGATAAATCTTATTAAATGGTTTAGTGCAAGTAAATTATCACTTAATATAACCAAGACGAAGTATACTTTTTTCCATCATTTTTAGGATCGAGGAAATATTCCTTTAAAACTTCCAAAACTCTGTATTGACAATCAAGACATAAAAAAGAAAAATCACTTTGAAATTTCTCAGTGTTCTGCTTGATGAAAATGTGACGTGGAGAGATCACATACATTTTCTCAAAAGTAAAACAAGAACATTGGTCTGATTTGTAGAGCAAAGCCTTTTTTAAATCCATATTGCTTAAAGTTTTTTTATTTCTCATTCATTCATTGTCATCTAAATTATGGAAACCTTGCTTGGTGCAGTAAAAATAAAAAAAGATTAAAATTTTTTTTTACAAACAAAAACATGCAGTCAAAATCATAACTAATGCGAAACGTCTTACACATTCCCAAGCATTGTTTATTAACCTAAATATAATGGAAATCTACCAATTAAACATTTATAATCACCTTATTTATGTTCAAAATTAATAAAAATTCATCTTTTAAAATATTTAACACGCTATATATATAACAGTATATAACTTTCTGCTGTACTATAGTACATGCTTTTACTTTAGTATTTGACATTTGTCCTTTTGTAATAATAAAACAAAAATAAATGTAGATTTTCATAGTTAGAGAGGGGCATTCAGGACCTATGAATGCCCTAAATTTCTTATAATTATGAAAAGTCAACATAACAATGTTTTATATTAAGTAGTGCTCTAGTTTTACAATTTTTTTTTTATTATCATGTAATATGGTATAGATTAAAGAGCTTGGTGATAAGACTTCTTCTTGCTGCTGCTATTTGTATTAATATATGTTTTATGTTATGAATAAATTTATATAGCAAAAAAAAAAAATTCGTAGATGTTCAAAACATCAATAAAACAAATTTTTTATAATTTAAAACGATTTGAAAAAAGTTATATAAAGCAAAATAAATATTAAGGTCTCAAACGTTATCTAAAAAAACAATCGTTAAACTAACTGTAACTAATTAGTATGACCAAAAAAGTACACTTATATATCAATTCATTTTTGAGTAACTTATATTTAAATTGACGCCTTTTATAATGCGCTTGCACTTAAAATGTCAAAAATTCAATATTAAAAGAAAACAATTGTTTATGTCATGCATGAGTCATTTTAACGATAAAATTCTTAGCGCTAAGATTATCTTTTTTTTTGTTCTAACAACTAAACACAGCGATTACTTATCCTCATTGATGTCAAGTAATGTATTATTAACAGAAACTACCATTTAATACTAAATGAAAAAAAGTAATCACCACTAAAAGTGGGAAAAATACATCTATAAATTGTTTATTGATCTGAGAGTTTTAGGTAACCTTTATTTTATTTTATTTTCGTTATAAGTTTTTACTTGAAATAAATCTTGATAAAAAAAATGTGCAGTTTTTAACTTATTTAAAAAAAAAAAAAAATTATACAAATGATCAAAACCAATTTAGTTTTATCACCAAACAGAAAAAGCTTGTTAATTAAATCAAGAAACGAATGCTTTGAATAAAAAATCATATAATAGTTTTTTACTTTCTATAGTTATTCACAAGTTTATATTTGGATAATCACAGAAAATTGTTTCACTACATTTGTTTTAGTTAAAATGTATATGGACTTTAAACGAAATCAAGAATCGCGAAAGATTTATTTGAAGATAATGAAAGAAAGCTTCCAAGCAAGGAGCAAACGTCAAATCAAGTTTTTTTTGAGTGTCAAATGAAAATGCTTTTAAAATATTGCTGCGATTGGACCGAGGAGCAATAAAAACTCATAAACTTAAGGACACGTTTTTTTTGATTTTTTATTAAGCATATTTCAAATAACTTTTAACTTTAGAATAGATTTCGAAATTCATGAAAGACAGTTAAGTATTTGAAAATAATATCTATGAAAATTTGCAACTTTCTGAAACAATGTTACTTTTGTTGAAAAACAGAAAAAAAAATAGCTGCCATTCATGAAAGTGTTTATATGTGAGACTGTAAATAAAAATATATGCTTTTTAGATGTTCAAAACATCAATAAAACAAAATTTTTATGATTTAAAACAATTAAAAAAAAAGTTATATAGGGAAAAATATTTGTTAAGATCTTAAACGTTTGTTTAAAAAACTTAAAAAAAAACTGACAGTGCATCAGAATGACCAAAAAAGTATACGTATATATCAATTCATATATCTTTGATTAACTTATATTTAAATTGACGCTTGCTATAATGCGCTCGCACTTAAAATGTCAAAAATTCAATATTAAAAGAAAACGATTGATTAGGTCATGCATGTGTCATTTTAACGTTAAAATTCTTAGCGCTAAGAGTTTATTTTTTGTTCTAACAACTAAACACAGCGATTTAATATCCTCATTGATGTCAAGTAATGTATTATTAACAGAAACTACCATTTAATATTAAATGGAAAAAAGTAATTACCACCAAAAGTGGAAAAAATACATTTATAAATTGTTTATTGGTCTGAGAGTATTAGTCAACCTTTATTATTATTTTTTTAAATTGTTATTTAGTGTCTGTGCTTATAATCAATCTTGATAAAGATATTGAGCAGTTTTTGAAAAAAATAACTTTTTTAGTTTATTGTTTGAAAAAGGTGAGAGTTGTTTAGGTAATACACGAAAACGAGTCATACGGTTAGATATTAGTAAAAATGGTATGTTTAGATACGCATGCCTGATAAATAAAAAAATCATTTGAACATTAAAAATGGCTATTGTTTTTAACTACAGATAAGTATTTTAATGGCAAAAGTTTATTTCTAATTAATTTCTGAAAATTCAATAAAGTAGCCTTTTTTTAACGTAAACCAATATAACAATGCAAAGGTTTCACAAAAATATAAATAAAAATAAAACCAAAAACTTAGCGTGAATTATATTCTTTTTTATTGTATATTATAATCTTTTTTAGTGTAGCTCATAGATTTGTTGAATTTGAAATCAAGACCCTTGATATCAAGGGTCTTGAGGAAGTTCTCAAAAAAATTTTATTCAAAAACTTTTAAAAACCAGTCTTTTTCATTGTATAAAACATATTAATTGCGTGGAAACATATATTGTTCAAAAATGTTCTTATTTTGAAAACCCTATTAAAATTTTTTTTTTTTATAAATTTTAGATAATTATGGTCTATGTTGTTGATATTTTTCTTAGATATTTTTTACAAGTACCTAATTTTATTATAAAAAAAAAATATGTAAGTGTATCATGTTGGGTCTCAAATGAAGAGAAATTATATGAAAATTTCACTTTTAGATGTAGCACGATAAAAAATGATGTTTATTTACTAAATAAAAAAAATGTGCATTTTGACTATTTTTTGGAAAAAGTTTTTTCAATAAGTTTTTTATAATATATTTATATTGTCTGCAAATTTCATGACTTCGGTTAATTTGAGACGAAATGTCAAAATACACTTTTAAAGATTTTTTTGTTGTTGATAATGTTAGGAACTCGTCATATGGGTCTTGATGGACTCCAAAAATGTTTATTTTTTCAAAAAAACTTTGAAACCAGTATTTTTTATCACATGAAATACGTTAGGAGGTGGTAGCATATACATTTAAAAAATATTGTAATATGGCTTGATTTATGAATATTATATTTGTATTATTATATTTTTGTACAAAACAGTCTTATATTAATAAGTAGATAATTTAGTATAACAAAATATATTTCTTTAATCCTTTTATAAGCTAATACTGCTTTCACCATAAATGGTGTTGCAAAAACAAATAACAAAATGTCTTTGTTTTTCTTTTTTTTTTTCTGTTGCACTAATTATGGTATTGCAGAAATAAATACCATAATAGTTCCTAAAAAATTTTTTTGTAAAATTTCACAATTTCATCTGCCTAAAACGTTTTGTTTGATGATTTCTTGGTCTGATGAAATATTCCTAATAAAGCATTTATGATCTCCCAGAAGCATCATTTTCATCAATTGTCATTAACAAATTTGAGTTACTAATTTTAAAACAATTTCAATACAAGATTTGCACAATTCTGGTAGCAGATGAAACATTTGCTCTGTATGCTTTAGTAAAAAATCTATAATAATTTTAACACAAAAGCACTTTACAATATAATATATAACTACTTTTAGAACTGTTTCCTTAATTAATTTATAAGTTGAAGATGAACCTGATTTAACGCTACTCGATTTTGAAAAGTTTTTTATATTATGCGCTTTGCAGGCTTTCTTATTTCATCAAGACTAAGAAATCATCAAACAAAACGTTTTAGGCAGATGAAGTTTTGAAATTTTACAAAAAATATTTTAGGAGTTGTTATGGTATTTATTTCTGCAATATTATAATTAGTGTAACAGAAAAAAAAGCAAAACAAAGACACTTCGTTTTTTGTTTTTGTAACAACATTTATGGTAAAAGCAGCATATATATATATATATATATATATATATATATATATATATATATATATATATATATATATATATATATATATATATATATATATAAACAAATTTGTATTAATTGTTTTATTTTACATCTTTTAAAATAACATATTTGGTTTAAACAGATAATAAAATAAATAAAAAAGTTTTATCATGGCTCATCAAGTCTTAGAACTTGCCGAACTAGAGGCAACCCGAGCAAATATAAAAAAAGTACTTGAGTTGATACAAAACAAACCTATTTTAAACTCTTCCGTTGGGAACGATGTTGTTGTGTTTGTAGGAAATACGGGCTCAGGTAAAAGCACTTTGATTTATTATATAGTCCAAAAAGATTTAATTGTTGACGAGAATGATAACATTGTTTTGAAAAATTTTTACGATCCAAGTGCAATGGCAATTGGTGTTGGCAGTACATCACAAACTTTATTTCCGCAGTTTATTAAATTTAATAAATTAATTCTTTACGATTTACCGGGATTTAGAGATACTAAAGGAGCGGCAGTCAATTTGGTTAATGCAGCGTTTATAAAAAATATAGTAGAAAGGGCAAAAACAGTGAAAATAGTTTTTGTGGCTGCTATGGATGAAATTACTGCTAGTAGAGGAGGAATTAATTAAGCAACTCTTGAAAAGTATAGAGGAGTTTATACCTAATGAATCAATCAACAAGATAAGCGGCTTTGTAGTAACAAAAACACCGGTCCATAAAAGTATTGATCAAATTGTGAACAAGTTAAATCAATTTATGGGTGACGAGTCTCTGACTAAATGGCATAAGGAAGGTCAGTTTGCAATCATGAAAATGGTTCATAATAATAGTATTAACCAAGAAGACAGAAAAGGCATTTTTGACATGATTAATAAAGTCAAACAAAAACAAATAGACAATGTCAACATAGGCTCTATTTTTAGCTCCAAAGATAGTTATACAATTAAAAGCTTTTTTATTGAAGAGATGCAAGAAATATTCGAGTGTTTACTTAAAAAAGTAATCGATAAAAAAAAAAATTAAAAGCTATTCGGTGCCAGAATTAGAAAATAAAAGTTCCGAACTAATGAATTTATTAATCGAGTGTAAATTTGATAGTTCTTTTTTGATAATAATTTTAAGAACAATATCCTATGACGTATACAATACAGCATTGAATGAATTTACAAATATAATGAAGAAAGATGTTAAAAAAATAATTTTATTGATTAATATTGAAATTAAAGATCAGGAACGAATAATGGCAGAAAATAAATATAAAGAAGAAGTTTCTAACCGTAAATTGGATAATGAGAATTTCAAAAAAGAAGTTTTATCACTTAAAAATACAATAAATGATACAAAACATGAGTTGCAAAATACAGCTTTTAAATTTGAATTAGAGCAACAAAAGAACGAGATAAACCGTTTAAAAATGAATGAAGAAATTTTGCGACGAGATATGGAGCTTAATAATTTGAAATCGGAAGTTTCGAATCTAAAGATTAAAACTAATAAAACATGTGTACTGCAATAAATGCTCCGAAATATAAAAATCAAGTTATTTTTTAAGTTATAGCTGCACACTTAGTTAGTTAATTTTGCAATAATTTCTAATACTATGACATTTTTTAAAAACGACGTCGCGATGGTAAAGCTGCTTTCTAGACATTTGCGCAGATAAGTTTTATTTGAAACAAAATTATTGAATTATAGCATTGGTAATTGTAGCAACTTTTTTTCTATGTATGGTGTTTGAATAAATACTACTATATATTATTAAATACTTATTTAACTAATAATAAATAACAAAAATGTTGTTGTTGTCAGAAAGCAATCAAACTCATTAAAAAGTAACACAATTTATAAGACTTAATTGGACATTTTTTAGATTAAATGAAACAATCAAAAAAAAGTCTTTGAAAAACTATATAAAATTAATTTCATAAAAGTCTTTAAACAAAATTTGAAAAACAAATAAGAAATAAGATAGAAAATCACAGGTAGTAAGAAAGTGAAGACATATTATTTGCATTTGAGCAGCCGTTGTGCAGTGGTAACGAACTTGGGGGTTGTCCATAATTTACGTAACGTAATTTTTGATTGTTTTTGACCTTCCCCTTCCCCTCGTCACAAAACCATAACACTTAAGATACAAGTTTTGTATGAATCGTCACAAAACTATCAACCCTCTCCCCCCTTATAGCGTGATGTTATTTACGGACGACCCTTTGCCTCAAATATAAAGAATCCGTGGTTCAAACCCGACTTCTGGGCAAGTTTTGTGACATTGGTTGGAAAAGAAACGCGACTTTCCAATTTAAATCCTCATCCGCGTTGCTTTGTGATAAGACCGTTAGGACTTCTTTGGGCACATAAAAAAAACATAAAAAAACAAAACAAATTAAAGTCAATCATAATAAGAATAATAAGAAAATAAGAGTTAATCATAACTTTATTCTG